TGTTAACCACTGATGAACCAATGCTGATATATGATTGTAACTGAATTCCACTAATTATTCAGGTGTACTTTTTTTCCTCTAGTGTCTGTTTTCTGTTCTAGGGTCCCAGCTGGGTCACCACATAACACTTCGTCCTTGTGTCTCCTCAGGATCCTCTAGAGTGGGAACTGTTCAAACTCACCATGAATACCCACAGTTTTGAGAATAACCAGTAGACCATCCCTCATTTATTTATTTATTTTTTGTGCTATTTTTCTTAGGGTTAATTGGCTTGGGGTCATAGGTTGGGGGAGAAGATCGAGGAAAACTATTCTCACCATGCCAACATGATTTGAGTAATTGATTTTTATTTAGATCTTTCCTATTGTAAGTTTGAGTGTGATCACTTCCAAGTTCTTTACGTGTGGGAGTTTACACTGCAATCCCTGGTCCGTGCTTTTAATTAGGCATGTGGTTTTGGGATTGTTCCTTAACCTCTGAGCATCAGTTTGATCATCTTTTTGAACCCATAATACTGGACTAAGCATGCCAGAGTCCTTCAAGAAACTACGCTGAGAGGCCAAAGGATCGATGGACACAGAAACCTAACGAGGGCCTTTGTGATCATCTATTAGCAAATCTGCTGATGAAATCATTAGAATCCAAAGTGCAGGTTAAAAGCTTGCCCAGTAATTAAAATTCACTTTCTTCCTCCCATTCTCAGTTCCAACCAATGTGGTACATCTGGATAACACGGTTATGCTATCCTCGTGGTAAAAATGGGTAGGGCTACTAGGAAAAAGAAAGAAGTTAACGAGTCACACAGTTGTTCCTTCAGTTAGGGTCAGTGGCTTGGCCCGACCACTCCCTCACTTCTCCTCCGGGGTGTCTAAAACCCCGGGCTCACGTCTCCAGGGCAAGGAGAGAGAAGCCACTCCTAACTAAACCAGCCCCAGGACGAAGAGCCTGGGCTCAGGACTTCTAGGTCTGTGTTTGCTGCTTCTGATACATCAAGTCTTCAGAGCTTAACACGTAGGGGTTTAGAAAGGGTGGGGTTAGTTATGGGCAAGTTATAACTGTTTATTATGGATATCCATGTCCACCCAATAATGACCTTCTCTGCCCAGCGTCAGACTCAAGGTCTATTTGGAGTGACCTGTGCTTCCTTTGGGGACCAAATCATCTAATGTCCTTCAGTGGTCTCTTAAGTAAGATTCTAACAGGGGTCTCTGTTCTAGTCACAGTTAGTCATCCACCAACAGGAATGAAAAACAAAAACACAGGTCATCTCAACAGATGCAGAACAAGCATCTGACAAAGTTCATTGTCCTTTTAGGATTAAGAAACTTCTCAACCCCGACTCAGTGAAGGCAAGTATCCCCAGCACCCTTGACATTGCCACTCAACACAGCCCTGGAGGGACTAGCAAGAAAGAGAAGGAGAATCAATTCAAACTGGGAAGGAAGACGTAATAATTATGCTTCTTCTCAGGTGACATGATCCCATACGTTAAAAAACAAAACAAAACAAAAACCCCAGAAAATCATACAAAAGAAACCTCACTAAACTGAAGGAATCAATAAACAAGCAGAAGGAATAAATGAATTCAGTAAAGGTGCAGGATACAAAATCGTTACACAAAATTCATTGTATTTCTTTACAACAATAGTGATCGGCCTGGAAAAAAAAGTGAAGAAAATAATAGCATTGATGATAGCATCAAGAAGAACAATATGCTTAGGAATAAATTTAACCCATGAAACAAAAGAACTGCGCACTGAAAAAAATAAAGCTTTAGTGGAAGCAACTGAAGGAGACACAAGTAATTGAGAAGAGAGATAATGCACACTCATGATTTTGAAGAATCTCTGTTGTTAAAATGTCTACACTCCACAAAGCAGTAAACAGATTCAACCCCAGCCGTTTTAAAATCCCAATGATATTTTTCATAAAAATAGAGAAAAGCTCTAAAATTCATATGGAACTACAAAGACCCCAAACGGTCTTAAAAAAGAAAAATAAAGTTGGAAGCTTCAAACTTTCTAATTGCAAATCACGTTATAAACCTGTAGTAATCACTGGCCTCCAGATGGACACATATACAAGTAGAACAGACTAAAAAAGCTCCGAAATAATAAACCAAAGAATACCTGGACAACTTATTTTTTATTAGCTCATGAAGAATTCACAATGGGGGACGGAGGGTCTCGTGATGAGTGGCGTAGAAAACCTGGGCCTAGGCATTCACAAGAATGATGATGTTGACCTCATGCCTCACAGAAATCCACCTAAATAGAGTCAAACCTCAGTATCCGACCTATGGCTGTGAACTCCTAGAAGAAAACATAAGGGAGATGTTTCTTGACGTTGGCCTCAGTAAAGATTATTTTGGGTATAACACAAAAAACTCAGGCAAAGCTAAGTGAGCAGGGGACTGTATCAAACTAAAAGGCACCACACAGCAAAGAAAACAGCAAATAAATGAAAACTTGCAAGTCACATATCTGATAGACTGTTAATATGCAAAAGATAGGAAGAACTCATACAACCGAAAAGCAAAACCACAACTGGGCAGGAAATGGAAAGGGACCCAGATAGACATTTTTTCCAAAGTGAAAAATTGGTCCAAAGATTTATGAAAAGGCTCACAATCCCTGTAATCATCAGGGAAATTCAGATCAAAACCACAGTGAGATATGACCTCACACCTATTAGGACCATCATTATCAAGAAGATAAGAGATAACAGGTCTTGGTGGGGGAGTGGAGAAAAGGAAACCCTTATATATTGTGGGTGAGAATATCAATTGGTTCAGCCATGAGAGAAACCAGTATGGAAATCATTCAGTAAATTAAAAAGAGCACTACCATGTGACACAGCCATCTCTCTGGAGTATGCGTATTTGTGTGTGTGTGTGTGTGTGTGCGTGTATAGTATGTGTGTGTGCGTGTGTATACACACACATACAATAAGTAAAAGAAATAGTTCTATAGACATGTATGCACTCCCATGTTTATTTCAGCATTTTTTTATACTAGCTGTAATATAGAAACAATCTATATGTCCATCCATGGATGAATGGATATAATAATTGTGGTATATATACAGGGCAGAATACTATTCAGCCTCAAAAAAGGAGATACCGCCATTACAACCACACAGATGAACCTGGAGGACATTACACCAGATGAAATTAGCCTCTTTGCCTCTGTGGGCACATAATAAGGATTCACGTGTCTCCTAGTCAGCAGAAGACGGGGACACAGATGATGAAGACATGTAGTATAGAGATGAATACAGAGATGCCAAGACAAACTTTCTCCCTGTGTCCTGGGCTGTTACCAGATTTTTAGTTAAAGGAATTTCTTATAAGAATGTGGACAGAGGTGTATGAGTCTAATGAATTCACAAATTAGTGAGTTTCTGTGTTCTGGATGTTATTACCCCGTATTTTTTTCTACACTGATTTTAGCACAATGGCATTGCAACACCAAAGTGACCTACTTTTCAGAAGGACTCGTTAGCACATTACATAGTCTCATTTAAAAAAAAAATTCTGTGGCGTTTTTCACATTAAACTTACTTGCCATAATGGATTTGTGTTTTATTAAATTGTGAAAATGGCATTTTCTACAATAAGAGATTATTTAATTTTCCATTTTACTGAAATGACTAATTGGGAAGATTTTCCCGTTGAATTAGCAGTCTAACAACACAGATTTTTAAAACACATAACTGACTCTCCATAATGCCTCTGCAATTTCTCATTTGCTCTGTAACTGTTTCTGTGGCAAAGTGGACCGTCTGCCTCAAATCTGATGATTCCAGAGTTATCCTATAAAGATGCTGACTTTTTTTTAAATTGCTTTGCCCTTTGGTTTCAAGAACAAATTCAGACATTTTTATTCTCACCATTGGGTTTGGAAGTTTAAGCCTTTTAATTCATTCTCATTGGTTGAATTCTATGAAATACTTTGTTGTTTTCCCAGTTTAACAGGACATTTAAAACCAACGGCTAAAACTGTTATTTTAAGTAAAAGGTTTATTGGGATTGAAAATAAAATCGCTCAAAAAACAATAAATCGGAGGCTTTATGTTCTGAATATTGCTTTGTAGTAAAGATAACATATGCATGTGTACATCTGTACTGCTATTTATTCATGCACATATACACTAATATAAATTATATGTAATAACATACGATACACTCTTGCTTTTTCAAGAAAGGGAGTAAATACATAAATAGGAAAAGCTGACGGTACTGAAGGGCACAAGGTGGAAAAGTCAGTCGCACAGCGTGACCCGGGCACGGTGACCTCCGCAGGTGCAGTGGGTTTCCAGGTACCTTTTCAAGCCGAGGTTGTTCATTCTGCTGTCACTTATGTACGCTGCGTCCTGCTCTGTCACACGGCGTTCGATCCAAGGAAGCTCCCCGTGTTTTTGCTTTTATTAAATCTCTACATTCTTGCAGGGCATGCATCCCAACATGGCCAGCTCAATGGCGGGGTGACTTGAGAAAGGATGGCACCCCGCAGTGAGGAGTCCTTGAGAAGAATCCCTGAAGGTGTTCCAAGTAGGAGCCTGAAAGGGTGGCTGTCACGTTTGAAGTGGGGCATTACTTCTGCAAGAGTGGAGAGCAAGGGACAGATGCCCGGCCTGCTGGGGAGTCAGGTAGCCACAACCAGGTGGTGGTGGCTGCCGCTGTCACTCCAGGACCTGGGAAGGGGCTGGATTATGGACCTGTGCCTTTAACAGAAAGCGATGGTCCTGGTGCCCTGGATCTGGTGGAATCACGAACCCAAGCATTTGAAGCCTCCGTGGGAGTAAGTCTGTCCTCCAGTTCCCACATTAAAGGACACTTCACACTTGGCATCTCACTGAACTTCCTCAGTCCCTTCCCTCAGATTCCATTGATGAGTAGCGTTTCAGTGACAGTGGGGAGGACATTGGTGATGTCAGCTTGGTGTAAGGAACTCAGGAAGCAGGAGGGTGACCCTTCCCACGCCATGCTCTTTACTCACCAACCAAGGGCATCTGCTCCTCGTCACGCTGGCTCGAGTTTCTCCAGCACGCGTCATTCCTCCAGCCACAGGCACAGGTGCCTTTCTCCCGGGCCAGACAGGGCTCTTCATGGTTTTCAAATACTTATTTGAAACAAACAAAGGAACATTTTCTTTACTGGGTCATTCAAATGACCTTGAGTGAAAGGCAGGTGTTTTGCTGGTTAGCTTTTAAGTGACATTGCTGGCAGATTAATATAAGGGTCATACAAATTATTTGGATATTTAAATATTGTAACTGAGTCACCATGATGATTCAAAATATTTTGGCGTATTTTCTTTTAAAGACTTAGTGTTCTGGGTGCTTGGTTTGGTGTTCTGGGTGCTTAGTTTCAGTGTTCTTGGTCCTTAGTTTAGGGTTCTGAGTGCTTGGTTTGGTGTTCTGGGCCTCAGTTTAGGATTCTGGGTGCTTGGTTTGGTCTTTAGGGTTCTGGGTGCTTGGTTTGGGTGTTCTTAAGTTTGCCTGCTCACCTGGATTAAGCTCCATTAAATGGTTTGGGGGTTTGGACATCATGTTTCTCCAGCTAATGTCTGACTAGGTCCTTGAGGACCCTCTGGAGACTTCTTTGGGTGTAGAATTCTCTTGGACTGTCCCATAGACCCGTGTCCCAGAGTTCATTTTTTCTAGATCACTGTGGCTACAATGATGTCATAATGAGCTCGTGCTTCTGGTTTAACTCTTGAGATGAATTGTCTTGTTTTCAGAAGCTCACAACCAGAGCTGACTTGGGGACACTAAGAATCTTTTGCAACAACCATTTTCTACCTGTTTTCCTACATTTGGGGTTTTCTGTCCCTCTGGCAATAAGTCAATATAATTTGATTTTCCCAGTGACGCGGATCTCCGGGAAGAGCTAAAAGGGAAGGCGCTGGAAGGAGCCCGTGTGCCTGTCCTGTGGGGCACTGATCCAAACCCTGGGAAGCTTGGTTCTAGAATTTGCCATCATTGCTCACGTGCTGCAGGCTGTACAGTGGGCCTGCGTGCTGCTGGCCGCCAGCCAAGCTGGTGGCCTTGTGTCTGGTTCCACTGGCTGCTTGGAACAGAACTATGAGATGGCATACAGATGTTTCCTTAGAAATTTCTGAGGACAATGTTGGGAAGTATTGACCTCAATGTCAAAGAAAAATGACTATTGAGTGAAAAATCTATGGCTAATGTCTGTAGCACTGCAAACTGTCCTGTAAAATCCCCTTCTTTGCAGTTATAATGTAATCTTCAGCATAGCTTGCAATTACACTGTTTGCATCAACGAAACTTGTGATTTTTTTCCATGAAAAAAAATATTGGAAATCAGGTTGCATATTTTTTGATTGGTTTCTTGCAAATTCGATAGTTTAAAGGAAATGTGTTTTCATGAGACTGTTTTTTTTTCAGTTATTTTAGTTTTTATTATAATGGAAGTAATACAAGCTTATTATAGACTATTAGAAGAGAACAAAGAGAAATTAAATCAATAATCCCAAAACAGTTAAATTTAGTAATTTCTTTCTTATGCCTTTTTGCAAAATTGAAATCATATTCTTTATTAACTTGGCATCTTGTTTTTTCTTTTTTTTAATTGATTTAAATTTTTTAAATTAGTTATACATGACAATGGAATGCATTTATGCACTTTGATATATCATACATAGATGGGGTATAATTTCTCATTTTTCTGAGTGCACATGTTGCAGAATCATATGTCATGCAGTCACATATATACATACAGTAATAATGTCTGTTTCATTCTACTGTCCTTCCTATCCCCACATCCCCACCCTCCCCCCCCTTTACTTCCCTCTACCTAATTTAAGGTAATGCTATTCTTCCCTAGTGACCCACACCTTATTGTGAATTAGCATCTGCATATTAGAGGAAAACATTCGGCCTTTGTTTTTTTGGGATTGGCTTATTTCTTAATATGATATTCTCCAACTCCATCCATTTACTGGAAAGTGCCATAATTTCTCTCTTCTTTAAAGCTGTGTGATATTCCATGGAGTATATATACCACATTTTCTTTATCCATCCATCTGTTGAAGGGCACCTAGGTGGGTTCCATAGTCTAGCTATTGTGAATTGAACTGCTGCAACATTGATGTGGCTGTGTCTCTGTAGTATGCTGGTTTTAAGTCTTTTGGGTATAAACCAAGGAGTGGGATAGTTGGGTAAAAGGGTGGTTCCATTCTAAGTTTTCTGAGGAATCTGCACACTGCTTTCCTCATTGGCTGCACCACTTTGCAGTCCCACCAGCCATGTGTGGGTGTGCCTTTTCCCCACATCCTCTCAGCGTTTATTGTTGCCTGTATCCTTGATGATTGCCATCCTGCAGAAGTGAGATGGAATCTTAGAGACGGTTATTTTTTAACCTAGGTAAAATGGATCCGTCGTGGCCACATTCCCCTTACAAGAGACGTAGAATGATCTGGAACCTCTGATTTCACAGGGAGGCCTAGTTGCTGGTTGATTAGTCTCTGTGGCTGGGAAAGGAAAGGTTGGTTTTCTTAAGTTCAATCTTCCCGGGTGCCTAACAGTCCCCTACCTGACACTGAGTGTCACCCCTGACCTGTGCATCACCCAATCCCGTGTTGCTCCAGGAGAATGGCTAAGTTGCCTCAGTCCTAACTTCACCTGGACCAAGCAGTTTCAGCCCTCCTGTGCCTCATGTCACCGTCATCCACACGGCTGTTCCTCGTCTCTCCAGCTTCACCTACCACCACATTTTCTGGTTTAAAATTGAGAGACGTGATAAGTCTCTGCCCTCTGAAGCTTCTAATCTTAGAAAAATCTGGGTGAGGCCAAATTGCACATTGTCCCATGTCTGTTTAGCATGAAATGTTTTTCTTAGTTGCTTCCAGCTTTTCAAGATACATTGTCTTTAAGTGGAAGAACATGAAGCTGGCAGCAGAGTGTGTGTGTGTGTGTGTGTGTGTGTGTGTGTGTGTGTGCGCGCGCGCGTGCGTGCGTGCCTGCGCGCCTGTTTGTGTGCACTCATCTTAATCAGGTGAGGGGTTTTATTTGGCCACAGACCTGGCATGAGTGAATTAGGAGAAAAGATGGTAGAAAAATGTTCACAGTATTTCATTTCTAACCAACTACACTCAGTGCTGTACCCAGCATACCACTCCTGACCAAAGACAAGTGGAGCTCAGATAGCAGGAAAGTCTCGTGGTCATGGTAGAAGAGGAGGAGAAGAGGAGGACACGCAGAGAGAGGAAAGATGCCCTTTCTCTGGGCCCCCCTTTGCTTCTGGGCCACTCAGAGGCTGACTTCACCCAGTTGCTTTCCTGGAGAGCCCCCTTCTCTCCTCCCACTCTGGCTTCCCTAACCCTGCGAGGAACAGGACCTGGAGAGTGGTCGGAGGGGACACGGGCGGGCACTGCTCCTCACCTCCCTGTCTTGTCGAGCTCTGCCTCGTCGAGGCTGCACATTATTAATAGCTGTCATTTCTCTTTCTGAACAAATCACCTCCGTGCAGTGTGCACCCGAGGGTACTGGAGAGTGTCCTCCCGTCTCTGTGCCTTCAATCACCTTCCTGAGCCGCCCATGCTGGCCGGGCGCTCCCTGCTCAGTGGCAGGTGTATTTATCATGCTCCCACTCTGACTGAGGTCCCCAGCTTCAGCTGCCAGGCCAGGCCTGGTGCCTTTCTCTCAGTAGATTAGTTTGCATTCTACAGGATTAAAAAGGTTTAGCGAGCAGCTGGGAGTTGGCAGGAAGAGCCTGAGTTGTTTAGAAATGTCAAAAAAAAAAAAAAGTGTCAAGACTGCAGGGTGTTCTGGGGGAGAGAAAGGGAGGAGGAAGAGACACTTCTCCATCAGATTCTAGCAGACACAACCCCGTGAAGGGACTGCAGGATGATCTCCGAGAAAACAAGGGAGCCTGTGCTCTGAGGAGGACAGGGAGGAGGGAGGGAGGGGAGGACAGACAGCCTGCTTTTCCAGGGGCAATGAAAGCCGATAAATCGGGCCACCTGGGACATCCCACTCCAGTGTCACTCTTCTGTTTCGTCAACCTGCAGAATCAGCCACGGAGAAGACACCACAAAGGGTGAGATGCTCCAGAAAGGAGCACGTTCTGGAGGTGTTTAGCAGCCCATGTGCCACTGGTGTTCGGCTCCGATGGCTTTGATTCTTGGTAGGGAAGGAGGCTTTGTCTTGCTGGGCTCCCTCAGCGACAGGAGATACTCCCCAGCCTCAGAAGGAGGCCTTGATCTCCCAAGATGCTGGACAGGGAACAAAGGAAATGGACCATGGATGTGCCATCACAGGCACAGCCACAGCTGCTGAGAACCAAGAGAAGTCACCACCGCACACAAAGTCCCTGAAAGCTGGATGAAGCACGGGATCCGAGTGTGTTGCCACTGCATCTTGCATGAGGATAGGTCAGGTGGCCGTCCTCCCGTGGTGCTGTCCTCACTGGGAGACAATTTGGAACAACCTTGCAAAGAAGTCATGTGTCTTGGTGCATCAAAAGGGGACTGAGGCTGGACAAGCTTGGCACAGAATTTCCCGTGGCTCTGGTTGAATCTGAAGGGAAGCACTCATGTCCTTCGGGATTTCTACCATGCCAGGCGCCAGCCGACAGCACACTGGTGTCTCTGTGGCAGAGAGGGGGTCTGGGTCTTTTCTGCATGGAGTGAGAAGGGAAACAGACGGTCTTCAGTTATGAATCAGAAATCAGAGTTTGCATCAAAAGTTGGGTGTTTTTCTTCATTTGTAACATGGGTTGGGTGTGGGGGGGTGTGATTCCTTCTAGAATCTTCCAATTCACTTCCAAATTTTGCTCCTGCAGCCCAAGCAGCTCGCCTAAGCTAGTGGACCAGCCCCTCTCTGCTGTTCTCTGAGTTTCCCTGGTGCTTAAAGGTGTCACTAAGAAAGAGGGGGACCTCATTGTTTTGTTGGACATAGTTGGAGACAAGGACAGGCTGGTGAGCCCCTGAGGGCCTTGTGAGACACGGCCAACATTCAAAGGCTGCCTTGGAGGATTTCCAGGGGGACTTGACCAGCCTGGCTTACGTTTATAAACATCACCCTTGCCGTGTGTGGCCAGCTGAGTGTGAGAAGATCAGAGGCAGGACCGTGAGTCAGGAAGCCACATTTAGCAGCATGTAGGTGACACACACCAGCGGCTCCACAGAAGGAGTCACGCTCGCTCAAGATGCAATTTTAAGACTCAGCCAGAGCATCTGGGGACAGGTTGAAGGTGTCTGGTGAAGAAGGGCAAAGTGCTCAGAGGGAATTCCACTCTGGCTTGAGTGGCCGAGTCTGGAGGTGACCTTGGCCGAGTGGGGAAAGCTCGGGAGGAACAGTCTGAGGGTCCCTGAAGGACTTGAGCATGCCCCTCTTCTTTACCTTGTACTCACTTCAAATAGACAGGGTCCCTGTTGGGGTGATGAAGAGCCCCCCGCCTTTCCTGTTTCCAGGGTCTGATGGGAACTTTCAGTGAGACCAAGACTGCTGACCCCTCCCCACTCCTCCCCAAGGGAACTGGCTTGATGGGGACGCTCGGTCCTGCCCTCCTTCCTCCTCCGTGTTTGCCTTCACTGGGTGGTAGCCCCTCCTCTGGTGACGGTCTCCTTCTGTGGTCACCTTCGTTCTGCCCATGAGCGTGTCGGTTCTGTTGTCTCTTTCTGTGTCGTTTTCTAGG